TCAACTTTTTCCATCTCTGATAGCTTCTCCTCCTTTCTCTCTAAGTCTTTTTCGTCTTTTAAATACATGCTGCACCTCTAGAGACATCCCAACAGCCAACCAAGTCCTACAGTATGACTCCCTCCCTCTGTCAGCCTCTCATTTTCCACTCCTCCCCTTTATAAATGCTGTTTAATTGGCTCATTGCCTTTCTTAAAAATGCTTCAGTAGTCACATCAACATGAAGGAGTGTGACACATGCTATTTAAATGTCATCACTTACTTAAAGGTACACCATTCCTGTGTTTTGAGGGCTCTACAGTACCCTGTATCATCTTCTTTATATATTTTTTTCCCTGCTCACTAAATATATCCTCCTCTCTCTCAGATCGCTGTGTAACCCAGACTACCAGAATTAGGTCATGAGAGAGCTATTCACATCACTTAGATGCAGTTTACTCCGCTCTGCATTACTTCACATAACATAACTTTGCATAAGGCTTTTAGTGTGCTATCCATCATATTTATCTGCCACAAATAAAAGGATAAAAAGGTAAATGGAAGGTTTTGCAGAACTGAAACAGTTTGTGGGCAACACAGAAGGAAAGCAGAATAAGAGGAGTGGCTTTACACAGTAACAGAAAGAGCGATGGGAGCGATAAGAGCAGAGGGTGACGATGGAGGAGAGACAGAAAATGGGGTGCGAGACACAAACACAAGAGACACAGACACTTATAGCAGCCTGAAAATAGAATCCAATTATAGACAGGGGGCAAAAAGAAAGATGAGAAGAAGAGGAGAGAAGAATGAGGAGTGAGGTAGTGATGAGCGTAAATGTGTTGTGGAGGAAGAAATCACAGGCACGAGGTGGCAAAGGAAGGTGCAAAAAATCCCCAAGAACTGAAAATTAACCGCCTCATTTACAACACGCTGAATATAGACCCTAAATCATGACATACGTCATGGCTGTGGGATACATGCAGTCAGTAACTAACATGCAGTTGGCATTTCAGGCTGAATCTTAATTAAAAGGCGGGGCGGCATGGTAGGAGGCATTATTTCAGTCAGTGTGTGAAAATGAGACTTTTTCTGTATTGCATTTTTAAAAGTACACTTGCAGGCAGTGCAGTGCCTCACATAAATAAATCATACTCTCCTGCAGATTTATACAGGAGCAGCTGGGCCGATTGTGTCTGCTGAAGGTTTTAGTCAGTGTGATACAGCTCGTGTAACTATTGTTATCGTCTCACGATGACGAGACCTCACGTTTCCCCAGTGCTCACACCTTGATCTGTGCCCGCGCGCTCACCTTGACACCTGAGCTGCACTTCCTTCCTGCTGAACTTGACCTGACTCTCCTTGTTTCTACTCAGAACGGATTCATTCATCTAATCATAGCTGCTGCTGAGGTAACAACTAAGAAGAATAACATTTGCATAACAATAATGTGTTTATTTTGCTGCACAGTGATGGGAAATGTTTTCTGCCCGGTTCTGAACTCACTCGCTGTGTCTCAATCCTCCGGACTGCATGTGGCCCTGGACAGTCTGCCACCTCCCGGCCTTCACTCCCTCTGTCACCATGCTCTTCACGCTGTCACTGCGATAAGGACCCCCCCCATCATCCCCATGCCCAGTTGCTGCCCCCTTCTGACCCCCTGACACTGCCCCACTAAGAGACAGATACAGGGTACGGAGGTCCCACAGCAGACAGAGGGTATAGAAGAGGGAGATAACGACAGGCAGAGGAGAAAAAGACCAGAGAGTGTGAGAAAGACAGGCACAAACTCTCTCTCTCTCACACACACACACAGGAAAATAGATTGAGCAACCACATGACTAAGGAAGGGAGACAGATCAGTAGAGTGTGAGAGGGGGCAGGTCTAGTTTTCCAGGCCAAGTGAGAGGCAGTTGAATAAAAAGGTCTGGAGTCCAGTGTGGAGGTAGAGAGGGATGGGGAGAGCAGGATGAAGAGGTAGAGGAGGAGAAGGATTTACAAGGAGCCTGTGGAGGGTGGAAAACCAGCAAGAAGTCACTCCTTTGGGCCTGGAGGACCAAATCTACAGCTGCCAGCATTCACTAGTGGCAAGAGTGTGTGGACGCTGGTTATTTAGTTCTCATTCTCTCATTCATTTAGGCATTTGGGGCAGAGATGCGCTACTACACAAGGCAATTCAATGGCAGCAACTTAGAGCAACAGGAGGACGGCTTGTACTGAAGTGCCTCATGAGCAAATAATCGACTCATTTGGGAAGTCATCCAAAGTGACATTCGGTTAAATACAAGTGCATTTGTTCCTGTAAAACATCGATTACAGTCTATTTTTAGACCTTAATGTGTACTATTTCATTTTTTAAAGATTTACTTGTCATTTGATCACCACTTAGCATCAATAGCAGTAAACAGGAAGTAGTGAAAGACTGGCACCACAAAGGATCATAAGGGCAATCTAATCATATCGACCCTCCAAAAAAAGTACAAGGCACAGAAATTAATCAGTGTTCATACTTAAGAGCAGTTGTCAACTCATGGTTCCTCTCACAACTGGTTTTAGGTTTAAAATGTCATGTCTACTCTGAAAGCAGTGATGATCAAAAATAAAGCACAGTAGTGCCCTCTGGTGACATGACTACATTCCATTAATATGCATGGTGCTCCTGCTCCGGGAGACACAAAATAGGAGGCACCAAATCCGTTGTCGTCTGGTATGTACGTGTGGGATCGGAGGGGGGTTACTACACTTGCATCATGTCCCTTTGAAGGGCAACTTTCACATTTAATTCTGACCAATTGACCTCACAGTGCATGTGGATAAGTCATCAATCACAGCAACAGCACGGATGACACTGCAACAGTCAACACAGGAGACATGGACCTCATTTATCGAGCCAGGCACAAGGTGAATGTTTTTAGTCTTTATTAAAAGTAGGAACACACTTAAATGGGACCATAAATCAGTGATTATTTAGAGGAATATAGCATTCAGATATCAATCCTGTTTCTGACTGAACTTCACTGACAGGAGACGTGATTTTAAAAAGAAATATAGCCACATAATCTTTCACAGCTTTTCATCTCGAAGTTATCCGATTGATCAAATAAAGTACAATATACAGTAAATATAATTCACTGAACTTGAAGCCTAAATTAGAAAAATGGTTCATGTCAATTCACCACAAGCATTTTGTAAAGATTGTGTCGTGACTGTTGCTGACATCAAATATATAACAGGTTCAATATAGAAAAATGATAGTATTGAATCTCTGATCCAATAAATCCTTAAACATGGAGATTGATCGTGCAGGGTAGGTAACCTGTTTGATAAATGAGGCCCAGTGTCATTACAGAGAATGAAAGCTGCTGATCTCAAGAGAATCTCAAACAGGAAATGATTTCCCTGCTGTCTGTTGACTTTAGCGACATATTACTGGTTGGACTCACACACTACTGACAAACCTCTTATTTTACCATTACTGCATCTGTTTTTCTACCGCTGGACAGAAGAAAACATATGGAGACAGGACCTGCTGAAAAACAGCATTATGGACAATAAATGACAACCTTGAGGGTTTAAAAAAAATGAACATCTCACAACGCAAGCACTAGGGTCTGAAGCTGGTTTCCTGAGATCAGCAGCCATCATCTTCAGGCAGAGTTTTCAGACAGTAATCCATATATCCACCGCGTTCATAAGCACACTGCTGCCTCCTTTCTCCAGGCAATTTAACACACAGTCCTCAACAGCTAGGTCTATTAAAGATGACCAGTTATTAGACAGTTTATCAGACAGATGCCTGGTAGCTAGATGTCTAAGCTTAAAGTCCTCTCGGTGCCCGGGGGAGATAGGTATGACCTTGATAGTACTTCATTGGATTCAAGTGAATGAAAAAATTACTTTCATTTCATTACGTAAAAAAAACGCTGTTTTCTTATCTCCCAAAATGACAGACAGTAGACACAGTTCGAGTGCTACAGTGTTAGTGCAGTACACAATAGATATTAGGTTGATGGGGATCAGAGAGAAGCCACAGATGGATGTAAACCACAGGTGAACACTGGCACCTGGTTTAACGGTCAACCCTCCACAACAACAACAACAACAACAACAGCAGCAACAATTCCAGTTCACACAAGCAAAGGACAGGGAGATACACAGATTACAGAGAAGGTGGGTTAAAGTATACACATGTCTTTTGGAGAGAAAGGCTACGAGGGTTGTCCGTCTCCATGGATACACCCCATGGGAGAGAGGTGAGAGGTTAGAGGTCAGAAGTTAGTGGGACCGGCAGGGCTGTAGGGAGTGGGGGGGCATCTGAACATGCGCCTCTTTGTTCATTAAAAGGTGACAGGATGTGAGGAGTAGCGGCAGAAATTAGACTGGGGACGTTACAGGGCTGTGCAGCTTTGCCGCTGCAGTAATAGCTGAATGGCTGTCGTGGGCATGCTTAAGTGTGCGTGTATGACATTTCCTACATTCACATTTTCCAAGCAGATTATGAGTAATCATTAGTAACCATTTCTGCCCTCCAGTGTGCTAACACTGGGTGGGTTATTATTGTTATTACTATTGTTGATGGAAATCGCATTATAGAGCAGTAATAAGTCTAGAAATGTGCAGTTTGTGTATATTGCAACACAATGGCATTTATAGAATGGGCTTTTTTTAAAAGGCCGTTGGCTTAATATCCGCGGTAAGTCATGAGAAAATTTTGTCCCTAAGGAATAGAAAAATAATAAATAAATAATCAAGATTATAAAACTAGGTGGATTTAATAAACTGTCAGGCATCATAACATCCTCCTCCAATGGTTCAGTTTCAGTTGAGTGGCTAGTGGTGGTGACTGCACAGCTAGTAAGGGGATGGTGTGAGGAGGGGAAAGGAGAGTAATGCAACGAAGGGAAGGGAGGGGAAGAAGAGGAATGGGAATAAAGGTAAAGGAAAAGGAGAGAGTGGCACTGCCCCTGCCTCGTTACAGCCCTGCTCAGAGGGAAGTCTCTTACCAACCTTGGACCAAGACTCACTTGAGTGTGAGGCGAGGATCTCCATATGGGGCATAGGGAGAAATGTTTAGTACGAACTCCTTTGGCGGATAGGAGCTCCACCTCTGCTGCACTGTGCTGCTGTCATTGTTATTCCAAAAGTCTCTGTCTAGATCACTGTGGCCAAAGAGAGAGACAGGTCAGAGCAACACAACTATGGACAGCCTTGGCACCAACCAACCATTCGTATCAGGCGCTCCGGCCTTCGGAGATGATACGAGGGCTTGGTTTGAGGAAGAGGGTTGGTCTTACAGCTGCATCGGACAAAACATGCCCAGATCATTGCCTATTTCTCCACCTGAAGTTGACAAATCACCATAGTGGTCTGATTTTAAAAATAAAAAGAAGGGCAGCCTGGGGGAAAAAGGCATTCAACAAAAGCTTTTCATAAAGCAATGTGCTGCAGCAAAGACACAGAGAGATAGAGAAGGAGATAGGTAGCGAGAAAAGAGGAGGTCATAATTTGATGAATACATACAGCATGTGATTACATTCTGTTCATCTAGCACGGCACCACTGATGAAACACATTTGAGTAAACATTAAGAAGTCTGGCCTCCATCCTCGGCCGTGAGCAGTGAGAATGCATGAACGCATGAGACACAAGGCAGAAAAAATAAATTGCCAGACAGTCAAAGTAGAGGAGGAAAAGGTGAGCAGAATCACTGATGTCATACAAGTCACACAGCAGTGGTCAGAGCTGTAGCATAGGGACAGTGCAGGAGAGAAAGGCAATGTACAAAGAGAAGGAGTTTGAAGCTGAAATGACCTACAGAGCACACCAATGCTGCTGGAGCCAGTGAGAAAGAAAATGCAAAAATTAAGACACCAAGGGACTCAAGTCAGAATACATTCACATAGCCCATCTGTAGTGCTTAAAACTGTCGGTACAGAAAATAAAAAGTAAACAGAGACATTGAAAAACAGTTGAGACAACAGCAAGCTAGAGAAGAAAAGTAGAGATGAGCAGGTTAATAGAGGCATTTTGTGGAATAAAGTATTGTACTTAGCATTACAAAGCTGACATTTTCTGGTACTGACCTATAGCCTTGTTTCGACAAGAACAGAAATATCTTAATCTTACTTTGAGCCCTGTAAGAAATGTTAGATAAAAAGTCTTCCCAAACATTTACACTCCAATGATTTCACAAAGGGTGCTCGAGCTCCCCTCCATTTACTTAAACGTGCACCATTTTAAGCAATGCAGAGGCGTGGCTAAAGGCCTGCACTTAAGGTAGACCTATTTTACGATCCATAAGATAAGTGCAGGAGCAGACTGATCCAGCCAAAAGCTTCACAGGTAAGATAATGCAGATTTAATCTATACTGATCAAATCACTATCACTTTCATTTAATGTCTGTTCAGAGATTGTTCTCTTCAAGATAAAACAACAGGCTTCACGTTCTGCCTTGTTTGTGTTGTGTACATCGAGGGACTCAAAGCTGAACCAAATGGAGTTCATTATCACCAGATTATTCTACCCCAACCAGTTACCAGGCACTTACTTGATGGCTTTCTTCTCCCCTCGCCCACGTGCCGAGTCTGGAGTGTCTGCTGTCTCCACTCCTGGCTTATTCCTCTTCCCCTTGAGCCAAGCGAAGGGAGAGGACGAGAGAGAAAGCAGAGCAACAAAAGGTTAGCTTAGATTTGTCCTTTGAAGCTGTGTTTTTGCTATACTAATTTCAAGTGTAAATGCCTCTCCCATTATCTCAGGAACACTGTGCCATCAGTCCTTTACCCGATGGTCTCCTGATTACACTCATCAAAGTCAAATCAAATCTGCTGTGGAGAGCCATTTCTGACTATGATTATCATTCGCACCACCCTGAAATTTACATGGCAATTGCCTCTTTAAGGTAATCCACTGGGTACTGGAGAGAAGCCTCTAGAAAGTCCTGCACCAGCCTGATTTCAAATAGCTGGAGCATGACCTGCTGTAACCATGGAAATAATGGCAATTTAAAGGCTTCGAAAAGTGAGGTCTGCTGGGCGCATTCTTCTGGAAAAGCTCATTACAGTTAAAGGTGTTTCACACGTGTCACAATGCAAGTAATCTCTATTGACACTTTCCTACAAGTGGGACAGGGAGGGGATCAGTCTAAAGCTGCCCCTCCCTTCCAAATACCACGCATGCCTCTCTGAAAATGATGCTCTGATACACATCGAGGATAGGTGAGGATTCTCCATCCCAGAAAATGAGTGGGAGGAAAACACACTGAGCTGCCACCATGGCTTGGCTTGGACAGTTGGATCTTGAGTTGGCTGAAGGGCAATTTCCTGTAGTAGGTTTGCTTGTTGGGGGCTGAGCATGGAACTTGAGATTGGACATCTCAAACTGGACAATGGTTATGTTCTGACTAGGCGACCTCCCTGCTTCCATTTTACTCTCGTTTCCGTGCTAAGCCTTACCAGACCTCATTAGAATTCAGCTACCTGACCCTAATCACAACGACAATGTATCTGATTCTAGCTGTTTTGTCACTAAAGATGTTGATCTCCAGAGTGCTTATTTCCAAATGTGATGCATTATTATATTTTTTCTGTATCTCTTGTCTGTCTCTGATTGTGCCGATTGTCTCCATCTATGCCTGTCAAGTATTCTAAGTACATAGCAAGGTTCTCACAGTCAACTAAAACAAAACCAAAAACTAAAACTAGGTGTGAAAAAAACATTTTAGTTAACTGAAATAAAAATAAAAACTGAAACAACATTGTGTACTTACAAAACAAACTGAGCATCGTGGCATTTCCGATGCATCACATTAGCCTTCCAAACGATAATAATAAGACTGAACTGCCATTTTGTTTTACTTTTTTACTTTACTTGTATTCACGTCCCCTGATTCCTTGTTGTTTTGTTTCATAATGCCAAAAATAGCGAATGACGCATCGGTCCTGCCAACGTCATTTTAAGGTTACATGGAAGTTGCCGTACCACTGTGAGGAGCAATGTAACATTTTTCACATTAATCAAAGAAATGTGTTGATTCAAGAGGTTTTATTTCTGTAACAAATTGTACAGCGGCATCAATCTCATCCGCTCTTGTTGCCATCTTTCTGTCTGTTTATGATGAGGTAGGTATATAAGAAGGATTTTTAATCCTGCCATCTGTGCTCTGATTGGTCAATTGTTTCTCCAACTGGGGGAAACGGCCACCAATGGACACAACATTAGACCTCGTTGAATGTCTGGACAAGTTGAAGATTCAAAAGTCTGGATTTATGTGAATGATCAATAAGCTGTGTTTTCAGCTGATGGGCTGCTGTTACATATTCTCTTGACTTAGAATATATTTTATTGCCTTTTTTATTGTGAGAAAAACATAGCTGTTTATCCAAAGCAACATTACTTTGTTTTTAAGAACAGACAAACAAAGAAATATGGCCTCATATATGGTCTCAACTTTTGGCAGCATCATTCAGTTTGGGTCTTAAAGGTTCTGGTCTCAGTTTTAGGCCAGTCCAGAATTCTAGACCTGAAGATACCTCCCCCTCCAGTGGCAGCCATATCAGCACCCCAGAGTAAGGATTCTTATAGAGCTGCCTGCAAAAAGCTATCTGAACACCTGTCTAATATAAATCGATTTATCTTTGAGGCTGGGCAGACCAACACTTACATATATTCAAACTGTCCTGGTAAACACAAACCCATGGAGCCACTAAACGTGGGGAAAAACACAGAGAGGCAATCAGGCAGAGTTATGTATGAGTTTCTGACAGAGACTGAATTGACTCAGATCTATGTGTGATGCATGCAATGCTTATAAATAGCAGAACCATATGGAAATGCAAATTGTGCTGCAGCCTTCAATATATATTGAGCTTCAGAACGGGCAGACTGATGTCGACTCCTTAAGGTCCAGATAACACAGTTATCATTTCAAACTACAGTCCACACCTTGGATATTGTGGTTTTGGATATTGTTGGACCTGTTACAAAAGCCAGAGTTGACAATAACACTGCTGAGCAAAAATGATAAAGCCCACAGTGGCACCACTGAGCAAAAATTATATCTATCACACACAAGGAAACAAAGCCGCTCATCTATTGTATAATCAGCACTAACCTGAAAAAGAAAGGTCAACAAATGAATAAACATAGATCTGATAGGAACGACTAGTTAAAGAGCTGCATAAAAGAGGTGCGTTTAAAATTTAAACACTGACTCCAGAAACAAATCTCTTTATAAACTATCATAGGTCTCAAGTCTATATACCGAACACATCACAACATGTTTGTGGTATGTTTTAGCCGACATTATAGAGACCATTCATGATCTTTTATATTCGGCTTCAGGCATTTGATGGCTGTTATCATTGGCTTGACAAAACAAATACATGAAATTACCTCTTATCATTTTGTACACCATTTTGAAAACAGAAAAATGCATAAAATCTGCCATTACAGCTTCAAAACATGCATGCCCAAGAGGTAGACTTTTCCACATACAAAATAATCATTATGCATTATCACACTGCAATAAATACTGTATTCTTATATACCAATTTCAGAGTAGGCAAAACAGTCGGAATTTCTGTCAGGCGAGGACGAGCTATCAAAGGAAACTCATGTATCATTCAATGCTATCGTAAAATTTTCAGGAAGGTGGGAAGACACAGTGGATGAGTGAGAGTCCAGTGCAGAAAAGAGGGGTGAGAGCCAAAAATAGAAATCAAATTTAAAAAAAAAAGATCCAGCCAGCAGGAGAGCAAAACAAGGACAGTGCGGGGCGGCATGTGAGACAAAGAGATGGGAGGGAGGGACAGGTGCGAAGAGTGAACTGAGAGGAACAATGAGTGACAGGAAGTCCCGAGTGGATTGGATGTGAAAACAAGGGAAGGACTCAAACACTCTGCAATGGGCATCGAGTCCTGCGATCCTCATTTCCATGAACACGCACAAAGAATTACACAGCTTCAAAACCATCTCCTGTACACCTTTCCTCCAGCTCATTCACAAGAGTGGATAACAAAACAGTCTGTTTCTATCTTCGAGGGAGTTGTGGAGGCTGCAGGGATCCATAGCGATGAACATAACAAAGCTCAACAGCTCTAAGGACACGAGGCAAGAAACAATAAAGAAAATCAGCTCAATACCACAAATGAGGGTTAAAGCAACCCCCCCCCCTTCTTCTACTCAAACACCCTTGAAAATACTTGAGTCTAATTTAAACCAGCCGTCTTTTTGTTAAACGACAAAGGGTTTCACACGATTACAGTATTCAGTGCAGTCTGGCTCTGAGCCATGAGTTCAAAATAGCTCCAGCTGATATGATGAACCAATTATGAGACCTATCCAATTTGCAGCAAGCCTCAACTTGAGCAAAGACAACAATCTACTAACACTTTTTAAGTATCAAACCCCAACAGAGCATGTTATAATGACATTATTGGCAGGTGCATCGTAGTGAGGGGAATAGTGGAACTAAGTACTTGATGAGTCAACAAAATATTGGACTTAAAGGTGGCAAAAGCGATTCCAGAGAAATCTACTATGACAAATACCATGATATAGAGCGAACAACAACACAGCAAGTAATGTAACTAATGTTAGCTATGTTGTGGGTTTGCAAACTGTCATTAAAGTTGCTTCTGAGCAGTTAACATGCAGAGAGGACGAGCTAACATAACAACAACAGCGTCTCTGCAAACTACAAAGTAAGCTGAATGTTCATGGGCAAGTCACTTAACGTTGCCTGACACAGAAATCCTGGCCGAAATGATAATAATAATAAAAATAGTGTTGTGTGGCTCAGTCCGATTCACTGTGTTGCCATTTACAAAACCAGGGCTGTGCATGAACACTAGACAGTTTTTTAGAACACAGAGCAGAAAGCTAATTAAAAAAAGTGTATTTTTTACCTAAATCCTTTACCTTACCCCACCTTCAAACACAAATTTCCCATTTCCAACTGGAAGTCATTGTTTTTTTAAAGCACGTCAATGCAGTTTATTGTATTTATTGTAACCATGATAAAAGTGTCCTAACCTTAGTGAAGTAATCATTATAACACAAACCACGTTTTAAAAACGTTAAAGGACCCATGTGTAGAATTTAGTGGCATCTAGCGGTGCAGTTGCAGATCGCAGCTCACTTGCTGGGAGAAACTACGGTGGCCGCAAAACAATACAATAACACAAAAGGCCCCATCTAGAGTCAGTGTTTAGTTTGTCCATTCAGGGCTACTGTAGAAACATAGTGGTTCAACATGGCAGACTTCATGGAAGGTGACCCACAGCATCTGTAGATAAAAACAGCTCCTTCTAAGGTAACTAAAACGCAAAAAAACTATTTTCAAGCGATTATACACAAATAAAAACATACCTATAAATATTATATTCAATTTCAGCCAATAGAGCCTCTTAAATGTTACTGGACCTTTAATTACTGATTACACTAATAACCACTACAGATTCATGTGTTGACTTTGATTCAGTTATTTGTGCAGGCGTTTTAATGGATGAATTAAAAGCAGGAGGGGGCCACTGAGGCCTTGAGGATCCAGAACTGTAGATGAGTGAGAAAAGACTTGTGGTGTTGGACTGCCCAGGGTGATGCTGAGGGTTTTCTTGAAGAATACAGACATGAGGAGACAGAGTGAAACTACCACTCTCTCTGTCTCAGTTGGCAGTGTACTGCCTTCCAACACCCAGCTGTGTTTGTTTGCTGTGAATTAGCAGGCAGCAAGAGTCTACATGCTCGCTCAATATTACCCACATCACACCATAATTAGAGAGGAGTGCACTATTAAAATGGTCGTCCGCTGCAAAATCATCAAGTGATAATTTGTTCATCTGTCAAAACATTTTTTTATTTTATACCTGTGTTCTTCTGGAGTATTCCCTGGCATTGAGAAGCATGTAATCACAGTGGCATAAAACTGAAATATCACCAGGAACACTGCCAACATTCACTTGCATGTGACAGGTCAAGACTTCAGATCCATGTAATGTGCTGTTATTATAATATTCCCAATGATTGTGACAATTCTCCTTTGAAATTCTATAATTATTGATTTTCACATCTTCTCTCTCCTGTGACTGAAATAATTACTATCATCCTCCTAACAACTGTGAACTCCTAACTCCCAGTTAATGCAACCAAAATGCTGAAGGTTGTTGATACAAGCCCAACAGGGATCGAATCAGGCAGTGAATCTGGTCAGGTCCAATCTCAACTCCGCTCACAACTATGTCACGGATCAAACAGCACAGGGCTCACAGGAGCAAGCAGAGGGTTTCTGAATGCCAAACAGCCACTGCTGCTCAAACAGATGTTAGCTGCACCACCTCTGATATCCGAAAATCCCACCCAGCACCTACAACATGAGCCCCTGCTGATAATCATCATCCCCACAACGTGGCAGCTCAATAACCATCTATTATTATATCTATTATTATGACTCATTCTATTATTATTTGTATGTTTGCTTTGTTGTTACCACCTTTTGTCTCTAATTACAAAAATCATAATAAAGGCAGACATGAAAATAAACAAAATAAATCAATACAGAAGAATAATTGCTGTAAAACCTGAGTAAAAAAAAAAAAGTGATGCTAATACATCTATAAACAGCAATAAGCAAACAGATTTAGCAGGCAGCAGAAGGAGGCGATAGCATTCAATGTGCAGTACTTCCAGGGGGCTTGGATAACAGAAAGCTAAGCAGGAGGGAGGCTTCAGGATGACTGCACATGAGGACTTTTAAAATAAAACCCATCGCACTGGTTGCCAAAGCTAAAACACCGAAAGCAACACTCACCCAAAATGTCTTGTCTATTAACCTATGAATCATAACCAAAACTGGCACGGGACCACTCGCAACTGACACGTGAAGCTTGAGGCAAACATTTGTTCTTATGAAAGCTGACACTGTCGAAGAGTACACTCGGAAATATCAAAAATGAAAGTTTTAGATGTGTACTGGCTTGTGGTTGCCTCACGTAAAATGACCATTAACTACTGAGCAGTTTTGACCTAATGAGAACACTTTCATGCATAAGAAAATCAGCCTGCATGAATTTACGTCATACTAGTTACAGTATGTGTCTCAGTTGAAAATAACCTTGTTTATGCAAATTGTAACGTATATAAATTCTAATCATGTGCTCAGGGAATATAGGGCTACCACAGAAGATAGCAGAGATAAACAGATCAAGGGAAGTGAGGGAGTGGAAAACAGTCTCCAGCACCACTTTTTGTAGAATAATAGACTTAATATCTGCGGCGCCTTCATGGTTGTTAGTCACATATAGAAAATAACACACCTCAAGGATGATGATGTTAATGTGAGAAAATGATTTTTAACAAGATATGCTTTGTCGAAGTGCAGTGCATCATCAATAACGTGTTTATCATCAAAGAAGTGACTGCCATTTCTCTCAGTCACACTTTATTATTTTGTACATTAAGCAGCTGTGTTTAATGTGAATTCACACCAGTGGGCGGCTGACATTTCTCCCAAAGCAAGTGGTCAGAAGACTACAAAGGGCTTAATTAACATCTTAATTCCACTCCGTGTTACCCCCCGCCACCACACACACCCTGAAGTAGCAGGGTAAGATGCACTGATAAGAAAGAAAAATAAGACATGCACAAACAGCACCTCCACTGAGACAGAAGCACCATCATCTTGTGTGTGAGGATGTGGTTGACAGTGGCCTTCACAGGGTCAGAAGGCCAATACAACATCATCCTGTCCCAGGCTGCCCCTGCTCTGCTCTCACAGGATGGAAATAAGTTCCATTTACAGCAGTGCTCCGGAGAGGACCTCTGGCACTTTCCAAGGTGCTGGAAGCCGAACTACCACCATCCACAGCAGGAAACTAAGGAGTAATTCACTGCTCCATTTACTTTAAAGTGGAATATCAAATATAACACTATGTTCCGGCGAAGCAAACAATAGAAAGACTGTGTACCGCCGTCCCATTTCAGCACAGACCATTTCCTCCCTGTTTCATATACGATATAACGGCATCGACAATGTAATTTAGGTACAGTCACCTTCTGGGGATTCAAGCAACACAAATGTGGCATGTGGTGTGCGGAGCCTGCTACAATGCCAAATCCTGCCATCTGTGGACCAATAAGTTTCACAGCAGTGTGATGGTAGGCTGAATTAAGTAAGAGTTCGAGCCAACATTAAACTTGAAATAGGTGACCTGTGTTCCTGGGTTGTTACAAGCACAGGATGAATCAGAAATCAATTAACTTTAAAGGCATGCAAATCTAAAAAAAATCAGTCAAGTGAGGTGGCACTCAACCGTACAGCTCTGTCTGCCTAATGAGTGGTTGACTCCCTTTAATCAATCACATTTCATACCACATAATCAGAATGACATGCCCTCTATTAGAGGTCAGTCTGCCTGATCTGTGTTCTGTTTCTCCTCAATGAGTGGACTGGTATTGATGCTGCATCAGCACAGTTTGCTAATGTTGGAGCTGTATCT